GACTATCCTATGTACTACTCGGGTGTGCCTCCTGACTGCAGGCGAGCAGTCCAAGAGGCTGCTCTTGCCAATGCCGAAGGGAGGCAGGGGCTGCAGCTGCAGCTCCTGCTCGAGCTGGCGTGGGGAACAGGCTATTTCTGGCCTGTTCCCGAAACCCTGTTTCCGTGCCTGAGTCTTAGGTAGGTCGAACACAACRAGGGCCTRAAAATGGCCCTCCGTTTCAGGCTGAAAAGCCTCTGGGCCTGAAAGGCCTAGAAATAGGTTGAAAYRGAATAGGGCCTGCAGGCCCTCGTATTTCAGCTTTCAGGCTGAAACGACCGGGGCCTGTAAGCCCTAAGTTTTAGGCTTTTAGGCTGAAAGTGCRGGACGGGCCRTGCAGGGCCCGTGTGCCTATGAAGTATGCCACACTCCCCCCTCCTTGAAAGACCGAGCTTACCTGCGAGGGCGAAGCTGTCTGTCTGAGGGAGGGACCACAGTCCGGGTGGGAGGGGCAGGTCGTGGAGGTCCCTTGGCTAACCTTTGGCGCTCGTAGTGAGCGTAGATCAGCGGTGCGGATGCTTTCAAATCACCTCCTCAAATCCACCGAGTGTCGTCGGGATCGCATGTTTTGAATGTAACTTTGTACTATCGCAGCTTGCTGCCCTACTTGTGATTCGAGATGATGCGGTCAACCTCCTGATGACCATCCATAGATGGAGGGTCCTGCGATCGTCGGCCCGGGAAGTCGTCGCTCTTAGCTGGTGTATATGTTGCCAGCTTCGATGCGTGAAAGACTGGATGGACTGTTAGATGCTCGGGAATGTTGATCACAAATGAAGGGCCATCGGGCTCATCGCCCGCGGCTGATGTGACAGACCATGGTCCAAACCACTTGGGAAGCAGTTTGCGTGAAACATCTTGTTCCAGTGCAAACTCTTCYGCGGAGACCCAAACCAGATCACCGKCGCGGATRGGACATGGTGCGTGACGCCTGTTGGCTTGCTGCTGCATGCGGACTTGAGCCTTTTGCATGTTCGCGCGGGCCTGAGTCAGCAATTCCCTRTACTTTCGGACGGAAGCGGGAGAGCAAGCAGMGTCAATGTCGGCTGGTCGAGGGAGRAGAAGGWCGATAYGGCCTTTYCGTCCACCGGGGTGTAACTCGAATGGAGTCACGCCGATCGCCGGGTGCACCGAAGTGTTGTGGGCGAACTCGTCGGGGAGGCGGTCAACCCAATCTTTCGGTCCGGACGGATGAGCGTACGAAGCATCATTTGAGCGGTTTGATGTGCCCGCTCCGTCTGCCCGTCTGTCTGTGGATGCCGAGCCCAACTTGGCTTCATCTTCGTGYCGGACTCCTGCATGAGTGCAGTCCAAAATGCCGACATGAAGCGAGTGTCGCGGTCGCTGACTATGTCTTCTGGTACACCATRGCCGCAAATCCAGCCGGTRTGCAGGAGGCGTGCCAGCTAGGGAGCCGTGGAGTATTACTTGCAAGGAAGAAAACGCGCGTACTTACTCAATCGGTCCACAATCGTGAGGATGCCGTCGTGTCSGAGCYKGTCGCGAGGGAACGGACCGGTGACGTCCATGGCAATGGAGAGACCGGGTTCCCGTGGGATGGGCATCGGGCGYAACTCGCCATAGGGATTGCGGTTGCGGGGTTTGCTGCGTCGGCWAACTTCGCAATAGTCGCAATACCGAGTGACATCGGTAATGAGGTCAGGCCATCGGAATTGTTGTYGAAGCCGTGCAATGGTGCGGTTGACTCCGAAATGGCCGGCGAGTCGTGAATCATGGTACTCCCCGAGAAGGCGAGTCCGAAGACGACGGTCTCGTGGGACACACAATAAGTCCTTGCCTCTCGAGTGGAGGAGCAAGTACCCGT